AGGATCCACATCCCAAGGCCGCCCCCCCCCCCCCGAAAATGTTTTAGCAAAAAAACCCCCACTTAAGCCATTTAGAGTAGAAGTACAGGACAAACTGGTAATTCTTTAGGCTAAGGGTTCCACACTAGTATCTCTGCTCCCTCCCATATCCATTTTTAAACTGAAACAGGATAGCCACAGCTCTAGCTGCTGCTGCAAGCAGCAACTGCAGAGCTGTACAGTAACTTCTCATGCAACTTTTGTTTTCTCCATTTGGAAACCTGAGATTTGGTACACATGCTCTAAGCCCTTGAGATCATACTTCACTGGCTTTGGAGAAACAAAGCAAAGCCAGCCACTGAGAAAGATCCTGAGCATACACTATGGGAATCTGCCTTGTCAAGGGACCAAGGCCATGTCAGATGCCAGGGGACAGAGTTATGTCAGCAGACAAGCTGACACAAGAAAGCCCATCTGGCTCCAGGTAGAGCCCAGCCTGTTTGCACCAACGTACCACTGCCTGCATGTCACCAGTATGACAGTCATCCTTTGCCACCCTGTACGAAGATGACAGTAAAGTGTTACAGCAGTAACATTTTAGGAGTATAATTAACTGCTTTTGTTCACACACACCAAGGAAAGGAGGAATGACGATCCCTTCCCTAACATGCTCTGACAGTCATCTTTTCCATTCCTTGGAATTCTTTTCAAATATGGTATTGGCATAGGAGTTACTTCCTGCTTTATACTAAAGCCCTAGTGATTTAACACTTAACATGTTATGCAAGTTCAACTCCATGCTATGCATCAAACAGTATGATTAATAAGCATAGTAAAATCTCCTCTCCCCCACAAACATACATCTTACTCTTTATTAAGTATCAAATTGTCTCAAACATAAATTACATCCAAATTACATAAGTTTCAAGAAAGTCAGATATTTTATGTACAATATTTGTCTTGAGTCAGATATACCTTTATCATTTTAACCTATTAACATAAAAAGCAAACCTACATCAGTACCAAATAAAGCATTAAAAAGGTAACAAATATATAACTTTTTAGAAATGCTTTCAGAACGCTAAAGTTAATGACAAAGATTTTATAGTGCAGCAGTCTTGGGTTTTTAGCTCTTAGACCATTTCTCTGTTTTTGCGGATAGCACAGCAGAGAACCATACTGAATATCATGCCGAAAACCTGTAAAGAAAGCAAATGCATTAGAAGTCGGGGGGACCAAAGCACATTCTTCTATCAACATGGGGACAAGCACAGCTGCTCTTCCTGGCCCAGAGGCCATATTAACACTTTATTCTGCAGTTCATGTCCCTGCCCCTCCACCCCCAAATTTCAGTCCATTCTCATGAATCCCCTTCACCCTCAATACTTCAAAATAGATCAGCTATAAACCACTGTCGTATCTCCTAAGAAATCTTTGATCATTCCAGCATATTTGCATCCGTATCATGCTTTCCTCCAGAGAAGTCAAACAAAAAAAGTACAAGCTTCTGTACTAGCACTGTTATTTCAGTTCTCTAGCAAAGTCTTTAATTGTCATAAAGGAAAGAAAAGCAAGGATCCCCAAGAGGCATTAGGATTAAGAAGTGGGCTGGCAACATGACCAATACATCTTCACCCTATATATACATGCACTACTGATACAACTTCACCACTGCTAGAACTACAAGGAGGCAGATCCTAACCCAAAGCAGAAGCAGGGAGGTTCAAGACACCCCACCCTCTGCACTGCCTCGGGGCCCCACAGCACACACCCTGATCCTGCCAGTACTTGTCATTAGTGGAATGGCCTTGTAGACTGCCATGCCAAGCACTATTCAGACTTCTGCTGTAAGTATCCTTTGGCCATACAGCTACCCTCTAAATAATCTGGAAACTCACCATTATTACAGCAATGCCAAGGCCAACTGCTCCAATCACATTCAATTTTGATTTGAAGACATCATCAATGGCATCAGGGCACGACTGAAAAGAACAGACTGTTCATTAGTGTTTCATACATATGAAAGGTTTGTTTCTGCTTGCTTGTTTGAGCTCAAGTCTGCTAATTGATGCTACACCTTTGACCAAGTCTGCTTGCACTAGAGATGAAGACTCATCTTTTGAAAGCTGCTTTGAACTGGCCTTTATTTTCACATCTTTAAAGAGAGACAGGGATATTTCAACACAGAACTTGGAGAAGTTTAAAATCTACTCTTCAAGTATATAAGCCTCTTAACTGCACCTTGGCTACAGCACAATTCCCTTCTCAACACCTGCAGTTGATCAGGTAGATCAGGACCCACAGCAGTTGTACCAGACTTGGCTTGTTACTAATGGCTGTCAGCATTTAAGTTGCTGTATTGCTCAGCCCTTCTCAAAATAGATTTGAAGCCACTCGGTATTTCCAATTGCTATTGTAATTTTGCAAACAGCTTATGAACACATGCTGCATGGGAATGGCAGGATTTTTTGAGCTGCATGCATACTAAGCTATGGGTAGATTCACAGAGGTGCCAGTTTGACACTCCCAGGACAACGAGTTACCATTGCAACTAAAGAAAAACTTAAGTACAGTCCTTTCCCCAGCAAAGACACATGGTAGCCAAGAAAAAGAACAAGGAACTTTTACAGAGGTATAAATCTTTAAGAGCCTGATAGCAGGTCAAAATCTCATCCCAACTCCTGCCCTACTTATTCCAGCAGCAGACTACAGTAAGCCGCTGAAAACTACTGTTTTTCTTTAGTTGTTCCTTATCCAGTCCAGAAGGAAAGACCGAATTGAGGATTAAAGGGATATACTGGCAAGAATTAATCAGTTAATTCAGAATATCAATACAGCACTGCTTCTTAGAGGTACAAAGATGAGCCACACTATTACATCCATTTAATTTTGCAGTCTACTGTTTTTCTACAGTTGGGACTAGGCCATAAACACATCACAAGATTAATTCAGATAAAGTTAACATACACTTAGCAGAATAAAAGCAAACAAAACCTGCATGCTGTCTCAGCTACTCCCATATGGTCTAACTCATAGCAGATTGTATGGACAGGACTAAAGATATAGTCTAAATAGATTGAAATGTCTCATGTGGTCAGATATTTAAAGGCACAAAATCATCTGTAGTGAAAGGAAGAGCACAAGTAATGTGAAAAAAATCAAGTCATTAATTGAATTCCTACATCATAAGAACCTTATTTCCTATGGGAAGACTCATACAGGCTGTCTTGGAGCATGAAGCAGGAGTACAAGACAGTTGTAAGAAAAAGGGGTAGTTAAGAACTATACAAGATGCCTCTCCTTTATCTGTGGCATACAGGCACATTTGCAGCAGTATTTCAGTGGGGGAATCTGATTCAGAGAATTGACTTCGCAGTGACATGCTCACCTAAACAGGCCACCAATGCATTACCCCCCTCTCCTTTTCCTTGCTAAAACTTCAGACCTGCTCCCACCCCATGCTCTACTTCTCCCTAACAAAGAGGGGAGGCCACAGGTCCCATGCAGCACCAGGAAGGTGCTCTGGCAACACGAGGAGCCAGGAGAACAGAGCTCTCTAGCTTTTTTTAAGGTGACATTTTGGCCTTATGCTGTCCATCACACCAGTGAGTCTAGTGACACAGACCATGCATTTCCTGTGCAAGTTCAGATTTCCTGCTTGTTCTTTCCACAGTAACAGTACATTGATTTTTCCACAACCAGACTGATTATAGAGATAGGTTGCTAAGTAAGTGCGACATGGGAATTTCCCATGGGCTGGAAGGGTTTATTCGAAAACATGTTTCTCATTCTACTCATAGGGCAGAGCTGTTGGTGAATTAAGTCATGCTTTACCACTGCAGAAAGTGACTCAAGCATGGTCTTCTTCGGACAGGTGTCCATGAACTGCTGCTCAAGAACTCCTGTAAGACCACAGCAGTCTAGCTACAAGAGAAAACAGGAAAAGAGAACCAGGTTAAGTAATCTTTATTTTTGCTCTGTATTTGGTAAAAGGAGAAATAAGATTATATTAGGTTTTATTACAGACCTTATGCAAATTTGCTTAGAAGTCCTGCCAACATGACTGCTATAAACCTAATTTTAAAAAGCCTTTATTGCATTAAAGGACAAGCTTCTGAAAGGAAGAGCTAGATCTCAAGTACACACGCTAATTTTAGTGACAGCTTGTCCTCTTTACAGACACAAAGATGAACTCCTCGTAGACATGCAAATATGTATACTATGGTGCCTCTAGATCAATACTACAGATCTAGAGTTTCTCAGCTTGCTACTGAGTTTGTTTAGGAAAACAAGAACTAGTTCTATGCATTTCAGAGGTTCAGAAGGACAAAAAGGCATACTGAATTGACTGATACTATACAAAAAGATCTTCTCTGCAATTTGTTACTAATAATCCTTTGGTTTCTTCTAGTTAATAAGGTACTAGACTTGTACACAGGACTGGATGACATGGAGAACAGTGTGAACAAGCTGCATTACTGTCTAGTTTAAGTGTAACCATGTACTTACAGCTAACTGAAATGCTTTCAGGGTCTCTCTGGCAGCTGGTTGAGATCTCTTTCCATAGGTTTCCGTGTAGAAATCCTTTAACTCTTCAATAACCTACAGGACAGCAAAGAGTTGTGGTGTATTACTGTCTTACCTTAATATTGAGGTACAGAAAACTTGTTTTGAGTAAGTCATTAAAAATTCTGCAACCTACAATACCAGTCCTTTTGACATGTAGAAATACAGGGTGGAAAGAGAAGGTGGACAGCATTTCTCACCCCAAACAGGTGAGCCTAACTGGTACACTCACCTTAAAAGCCACACCTAAACAGATAAGATTCAGTTTCCCTTCCAAAGCTCTGAGCTTCTAGGAGGAGTGAGAGAACCAAGTCTGCCCACTGGTTACACAAAAGTATTCCCTATTCATTTCTGTACCCCAGAAGTTGCTACATTCCCCTGTTGTATAATACAAGCAGACAAGCAACCCTGATCACCAAGCGCCTTATTTTGAAACAATACAGAATCTTGACTGCTTGTGAGGGGACAGCCCAGATCAGTCATGTTTTAGATGCAGAAACATTCAGCCCACAGCTGACCCAGCTCATATCTAAAAATGGTAAAGCTTCACTGATGGCCTGCTTTGCTTCACAGCTCAGCCAGGTACTGCCTGGAGGGCATCTCTAGCATGCAACAGCATCTTGGATTCTGGCTTCTCTGCTACAGCCTCATTTTTAACAATATTAGAGTTTAATTTCTTGTATTGTTCTGCTAGAATGCATCTTCTTCCTCTCCCCCAAATTCCCTGGGTAATCAGGATTTGACTAGTACTGGTATAGATTTCAGTAGACTGTCAACTTTCTGTGGGCAGTCATAGAATCACAGAATGGTTTGGGTCAGAAGGGACCTTTAAAGATCCTCTAGCTCCAACCCCCCTGCCATGGGCAGGGACATCTTTCACTACATCAGGTTGCTCAAAGCCCCATCCAACCTGACTTTGAATACTTCCAAGGATGGGGCATCCACAACTTCTCTGGGCAACCTGTGCCAGCATCCCATGACCCTGCCAACTTTTAAGAGCAACCTACCTTTTCTTTATTGGCAAATCCCCAGATTGCAGCAGCAATTTCAAGGGCAAAAATCACGAAAAGGAAGAAGAAGAACTAGAAAAGAAAGACCACATCGTTAAGACCACAGCACCACAAAACAGCATCACACATATACTGCAAGCTTATCCAGTCCCCAGAGTCCAGCCTTGTGGGAACCATCACTCAACCAGGTTCCAGTTGGAGGTCTGAAACACTGATAAGACTGAGAAAGAGGACACCCAGTCAGCACATCTTCCCAGGAGCGTTGGAAAGCCTGGCAGTGTTTTCCAAACAGAAGTCCTCCTTTTTGATCAGTGTTAATTAAAAGCAATAATCTGTTAACTCAGACTTTGAAGTTGCCCAGGTCACTCAGACACATCACAACAGCTGACACCAATTCTTTTCACTGGTTTGTCACTCCTACTGCTTTAGGAGTCATTACTTAATACCTAGCTTGCCACCAACTCCCAGAGAGCTAATGGTCACTTTGTTGTGTATCCCATAAAATAGGAAAACTGTCATCTCTGTGTTTGACTACTAGGTCAAAAACACCACTACCTTTTAAAGGCACTTTAAAGAGATGTTCAGGATTACAAAGGGCTAGAGGCATCATTTTGCAAAAAAAAAATATATGAAGTTAACTTCTTGCATGACACAGAAGGGGAATAAATATATGAAATTAACTTCTTGCATGACACAGAAGGGGAATTGTTCTTTCACCAGCTACAGTAGTAGTCTTTTATTAACTAAGTCTTCTGGTTATTTGGATGAGTAGTTCCACAAGTGTACAGATGTGCATGAACCCAGTAAGCTCTACTGGTCCCTCCAGTCTGAAAACAATGAGGTTGCTCTCCAATAATTGGCTTGCAGAACAGTTGTCAACTAGAAGAGCTCATCCTGTGATTATGAACAGTAGAGGCTTGTTGTTTCAAGGATCAAATACCACAGTTCTGGTCTCCAAGATTAAAGATCACACAGCCTTCAGAGTTCAGGACAAACTGTTTAATAAACAGCAACTCCTATCAGCTTTTTAGTCCTGTGTTCACACATACTCCCAGTCTTGATACCTCAACGTCTGAATATGTCACTAACTCCTGAAGTTGTCCCGTGTTCAAATACAACATGGACATTTGGGTTTAGGGCCAGAAATGAAAGCTACGTTTAACATTTAAGCATTATGTAGGTGACTGTGAGTTTAAATATTGTGGAGCCAAAACAATCAACATCTGCTGCCCTTTAACTGCACAGTAATATTTTCCTTGCTTTCTCATTGCACTGCTAAAATTTAAAGACTACTCTGAACACTTACCAGGCCAAGCATACATTGAGATTCCTGCAATGCACCACAGCATCCCAAGAAACCAACCAGCATCATAAGTGCACCAGCTCCAATAAGGATGTAAACTCCTAGGGAGGAGAAAGAAACATGTATACAGGCTAGTTGAGACCTCAGCAGCAAGGTATAAAATTAGTTGCTCCACAAATAGCATTTATAGCTTTTGCCGAGGTTTAAGTTTCTTTACTGAGGTGTTCCAAGCAAAAAGAGGGCTGTGCTTAGTCCCGTGTTCAAATACAACATGGACATTTGGGTTTAGGGCCAGAAATGAAAGCTACGTTTAACATTTAAGCATTATGTAGGTGACTGAGTTTATAAATATTGTAGCCAAAACAATCAACATCTGCTGCCCTTTAACTGCACAGTAATATTTTCCTTGCTTTCTCATTGCACTGCTAAAATTTAAAGACTACTCTGAACACTTACCAGGCCAAGCATACATTGAGATTCCTGCAATGCACCACAGCATCCCAAGAAACCAACCAGCATCATAAGTGCACCAGCTCCAATAAGGATGTAAACTCCTAGGGAGGAGAAAGAAACATGTATACAGGCTAGTTGAGACCTCAGCAGCAAGGTATAAAATTAGTTGCTCCACAAATAGCATTTATAGCTTTTGCCGAGGTTTAAGTTTCTTTACTGAGGTGTTCCAAGCAAAAAGAGGGCTGTGCTTAATTTTCAAAGCAAACACATCTCAAAACTCATGGGGAAATGTATTGATAAATAAAAACTTCAACTTATAATTATTAATGTGTACAACTACCAGAGTTTCACAAATTTTGGAAAACGGGCAAGGTAAAGCCATCTAAGAAAGTGTAGGACACATTTTAAAACTGGCTCAGAGCCAGAGTTATCAACTTATCTTCAGATGAAGAGTGTGTTGCAGTTAGAGACAGCTGGAACTAGTGATTTATCAACATCTGATAATTCTTGAAGCATGCTACCTCTAGGACAATGGGTATTAAAAGGCATCATAATCATCTGTCGTAAGACTTTAAATGGTTTCCTACCCTGCTTTTCCATCAGGAAACACTGAATTATTCCACCAGTCACGGTGGTAGAAGTCTACGCTTCAGCTGCCTAACTTGACAGCCTCTAACTACAAGAAACTCAGCATTTTCAGCTTTTGCAAAAGTAGATACTTCTTCAAACCGTATCAACCCAGTGGCTGAGCCTGTAGACTATTCTACCCAGAATTTAGGTAGTGAGTGTGTTGTAGAGGGCAAACATTTCTGGGCTAGAAGACTCCATTTATGCCCGATCTCCTCCTAAGCTTAAGCATTACAGCTGCTAGCTGGTGAAAGCAGCAAGACACAGCAAGCAAAATAACTCCCAAAGGATGGCAAGGAAGTATTATTGGGGTGGTGAAACACAAGACAGAATCAGCACAAAGCACATAGAATTAGTATGACATTTCTATCAATATAGACAAAAATACAGTTCTGGCCTTCAGAGACCCAATCAATACTATTTAAAGAAAGCCATACATAAGCATTTGCAAATGATATTTTCTAGATGTAAACTGGTAAGATTAGCTGCCAAAATAAACATCTACTTAATCACTTATATATGCTTAAGCAAGCCTGACATTTCTTATCAGCAGGAAATTCTGGCACCAATTTTTTTTAACCCAGCTTAAACTTTTTCCATTTTGGAAAAAAGAGCCCATCAGAACCTCTTATTTCAGTAATATAGAAAGCTTTTGAGGTAACCTGCTTTGTTACTAGGTGCAAATCGACAGATTCTTTCAATTTCCTATTGGAAACTGCAGTCAGTAACTGCAGTTAAACTGTTAAAATAGTAATTCCTATTAAACTTCTTCTTAAAACTCAGTTTAATCTACAGAGATTTCAAGTAGATTTCACTGGCTGCATTCAGCCAGTAGCTTAAGTATCACATCATAAAACTTGTATGTTTTAGGAGGTTGAAGAATTGTTTTAGACTACCCCAAATAAGACTTCTTAAATATTCAGCTCAACAGCAAAGTTTAGAGTTCTTTTCCCTTTCCAAGGTCCAGTAAAAGCATACTGAAATCTTCCTGGCAGCTGCAAGAGCCCCCCCAGTTTGCTACCATGCCAGCATATCAAGGGTGAAATACAAGCTCTCTCACAGATAAGCCATCTGCATGCCTGTGGCCTCTTCATGACTGCACAAGCATTTCAACATTTCCAACTACAGTCTCTAACAAGCCTAACTCATCATTCCTAACAGTACTTCCTGTAGGCACGGGCTACCCTGGTACTATAAGGCTGCAATGTGAGTTGCACCTCCCAGCATGCCTTACATGGTCTTTACTGACCCTTTAGACACCAGTTTGGGTGTTGTGACAGGTTGAGTAGCTCACCACAACAGCCAGTTTTCTTGGCAAGAGACAGACCAATCTAACCTAGATTTCTTTACTGAAAGAGTGGCTAAACATCCTAACCTAGATTTCTTTACTGAAAGGGTGGCTAAACATTGGAACAGGCTGCCCAGGGAAGTGGTTGAGTCACCATCCCTGGAGGTATTTAAAAGACATGTAGATGAGGTGCTTAGGGACATGGTTTAGTGGGCATGGTGGTGTTGGGTTGATGGTTGGACTTGATGACCTTAGAGGTCTTTTCCAACCTTAATGATTCTATGAACCATGCTGTGGATGGCTAACAAGCAATACCATACAGGACACAGCAAATCCAGGTGCTACAGGGATGTGAAATATGTATGTATAAGGACTGTCCAAATCCAAATCAAAGATGACAGGCACATATGTAAGAAAGGTACATATTTGAACTTGCTTTCTTCCCAGTTGTTAGAGGTCTTCAAACACAGCTACTTGGTTTCAAAAAGGGTTGGACCACCTACAGGTGACAACCTCCAAAGAAGCATGTGTTCCTCTGTCCAAGCCTAAAAGTGACTGTAGAGATCAAGATCTTACAGTTAGGACAAAATCGGATTCAGTTAGGAACTCCTACAACATTAGAATGGCAAACTGAAAACATGCATGTTTGTCCCCTAATTGCTCATCTTGCAGAACAGAATATATCAAGGAGTAACTTCCACCTGGCCTAACTAAAGCAACATTGATCTAGGTTGCCTGTAATAGTTGCTCATATAGACCAAGATATTTGTGCATCCCTTCCATTATGTTCAGTATAAATTAGCATACATAGGGCTGTAAGAGTTAGACAGTAGTACATATGATCCTTCTGAGAAATGAGGCAATAGACTTGTGGTTTTGGGTAGCTTAGGTTGGTCACGTTAGGGGAAAAATTAGTTATTGTCTACCAGAAGCCCCTGGTAACAAAACGCTTACCCAACAGCACCCAAAGAGGAACTGCAGGGTTTAAACTAGGAAAAAGATGAAGTGATATACAATGCATAAGAGGCCAAGATACTGCTAGTGTGACACTGCTGCTGTCTGCACGAGAGCTCACAACAGAGGCTGGCCCCCTGCACCAGCCAGGGGAAGCTGCTCTCCACCCACTGTTCAGGGCCATTTTGTCTGTAGCCTTCGAGGAGGATGAAAGTTTCTAAGCAGTCTGGAAATCAGGGTGCAAAAGTATGATCTATCACCCCGAGCCATCTCCTAGCTTACCCGTGTAAAACGTTGTGTTGTTGGATTCCAGTTCAAAGATGCTTTTGGTCTGCGAATCAAACCGAAGCCATAGTCCAATTGCAAGAACTGCTGTCCCTGCAAGCTGTAAGAACAAGTAAGCCTTGTTAAATAATACCAATTAATACATTCACCCTTGCATTAGTAACAACATCAGAAGTAAACACAGGATACAGCTCTGTTATTTAAAGAGGTGGTGACAAAGAACTAGCATAAAAGGATGGCGATACCAAAACAAGGACAAACTTAGTTCCTGACATGAGGCATCTCATTGACAGATGCATTTACATATTAAACTACAACACACAAGAACAATGCCATTCTTGTTCTTTACTGAAAATAACCGAGGTTTACCAAAGTGCCAAGTGTCAGTATTTCCACTGACCGCTCCACCCACTGTTTTATTCTGGGTGACTGTAATGACATTGCATGGCTTAGTGATCTTAAATCTTCACACTGAAAGACAAGTGTATCACAAGAAAAAGCACCTTGTAAGGCCAGCTAGAAGTTTTAGGATATTTAACAGACTGATAAGAGTTCAGTGTACTGCAATATAGAGTTTAGAAAGAATGCTCTTTCTTGCAAAAAAGGATAAAACCAATCCAATAAGTCACCACACTGACAGTAAGAGGAAAATAGAGGCTGCTGAAATAGCAACATTGCTGTGTGCTGATCTGGAACAACACAAATTTTAGATAATATTTAGTTTTATCATATTATTGTCTCTGTGTGCCTTCAGGTTCCTTTTAACATCAGTGCCTGTCTTTGCTAATCTATACACACAAAAACTTGCTGCTTCTGGATGAAACATCTGGCAGAAGGCATCAGAGAAGCGTTGCAAGAAAGAGGGAATTGCACTCTGGTAAGGCAAATGCTAACAGTTTGCTTTGAACAGACTGAATCCTCACCACCTCACCAACCCAAAACACCCAGGGTTGTTTTGCATGCAAAACCAGAAAAGAAACCAGGACAAACTACAGAGCTGGAGTGTGCTTCTCAGCTCTTCCTTCTCTCCTTTGAAGACCATTTAACTATCAAAAAAACTCTACAAAAGTGAGATGAGGACAGAAATACCACACATTGCAGACATTAAAAATTTAAGCTTAAGAGTGAGCAATAAGCTTAGGAAGTCTGAAGCTTTGGTTAGGCTAAGCATGCATGAAAAAGAAAAACAAAGCCTTATCTCTGATAAGAAGTTCCTTCTAGAAGGGAACAACATTCTTGATTAGCCTCCAAGAAACTGGAAAATGTTTACTTTAAAGTGTTAATTTTCAGTGAGAATATGGAAGGAATTCCCACAGAAAGCACCTGACACCAAGCTCAACTCCCCCAGCCCCATGCTTTCCCCACTGGGAGCCCAAGAGCCCCTTCTCCCTGCTACAGGAGTGCTTGCGTGCACTGAAGGCAGGCACAGCTTTGCTGCCTGTGGCTGTCTTTGCTAGCCTCCTAGGCTTGCTCTTCCAAAAAAATAAGG